GGAAATTTCCAACATGAATCTGGCAATCAGAGGAGCTGAGGTATCACAAATAACAATAACAGTCATCCAGCAACAAATAATGATGCTGGTGCATTCTTCCAGCACCTAATATCATTTGGTAGAGAAGTCAATTCCGTGTGGATGAAGTCGTCGTCAGCGAGAACATGGCTGCCGTACGGAGTTAATTAACTGGCCAGTTAGGCCTCCTAAAGCGAACATGTCAGCAGGAGTGAATTTTTGTTAGATAAATCATTAAAATGTAATGAAATCGGTCTGACGAAACAAACTTTAATCCTTATTGCGATGGACTTATACTTGGCATTCGTCAAGATTAATGTCAACAATCCGCAAATCTAATAAAAAGGACTGAAAATTGAGAAATTTCCGAACATAAGGAAAATTACGAATCATTCCCCAACCCGATTAAACTCACAGTCCAGTGAAGAATATCATTTCACAGTCCAGAAACAGTAGCATTGCGAAATATTGGACCAAATTTTCCCGAATGGGCAACTATAGTACCATACTTTTCAACCCACAAGGCGTAAAAGAGCGTTTATATAATATATTATCGGGCAGACCGACTGACGAAAGTTCTGTCGCCCAATTTAATTTCTTATAAATGAAACGGATCCCGCTCAAAAATACTGTAAGTAGCTATATATATATATATTTTCTGCGTCAAGGACGTATGTAAATAATGTGAACGTCAGTTACAGAAGGCGTGACAGCTTCATTCATCAAGGGAACGATCAGTGATCGATGCAGAGGCGTTCACCGAACGAGCAAACATGTCAAAGCCCAAAATCCCAAATGGACGAATTTGAAGGCAATCGAATCGATTTTTTTTATTCGCTTCCAAAAAGGAATCATACGCTCGAAAAATACGCAGGCACAGGCTGCGCTCGTGTCTGAGTAATAATATAAATTATATAATACAATCATAGAAGAGATAGATCTGTTCATTACGGTGGTCAGAAGGCTATCACACAAAATGTTACCCGACAAATGATCGGTTAGTAACGAATGTGCGGTGCAACAAAAAGCAAGTTACGTAGCTACGAGCAAAATTTATTTTCTTATAGCGACTCGACTTGTAAAATCCACGGTAACTTCTCGATTCCCATAAATAAAAAATACCGTGCCCTCTAAAATGCATGCGCGTTGAAATATTCAAAAGTTATAAGATGGACTCACATTTGCTTCCAGATGAGAAGTTTAACTTCGGCACTCTATTTCTGATCAAATTTGGAAGACCATCAGCTCTGACGGGGCACAAAACTGGCCGAGTGATTCACCGAAAAAACATTTCCAGGAAACTTTAGTCAGGTCGTAGTTTACGGAGCGCGGCACCACCAGCGTTACTGACCACCACACGCTACGAAGGCTCTACTGTCACTGCAGGCCGGAGGCCAAGGCCACTAGGCCCATAATTCGTAAACGCTATTGCAGACTGTCGCTGGCTGTTTACCGGAGCTGAACATGAGTGGGATCCGGAATTCTTACTAAAATGCGGCAAAAAATTAAGTATATGTTAGAGGGAGGCGCAACGATAAAGCACTGAATTTTTTATACTTATAAGCTCGTTAATTATCTGCAATGCCATTAAAAAGCAGAATTTCAAACAATCATCTCCTAATTAAACCATTTCATTAATGGGTCAACGGTTTCACCTCATGAACCCAACTAACACTGTGCCCCTGGCACTTTACAAAATAACGAACAATATTGCATATAAATACCTAACCCCCCAGCGGTGATAATTAGCTCGTGACAATTTTTTCGATTTTGCGTACGTTCGCTAGTTGTACGGATAAACGGAGAACCGACCGGCATTTCTCAAGCCGATTTTTAAACTTGCATTGACCAAGAGCCTTATACGTAAAGCCATATAACTCGCAAACGAAGGCAAAATCTAAAAAATTATCACGAGCTAAACTTCACCGTTAGGAGGTTAGGTATTCATATACGAAGTTTCGTTCAAATCTGTTCAGTATTTTCGAAGAAATTTCTTCTTCACTGCGAATTTAGGCACGTATTGCTGTTTAAAGCACGAATAGGGAAAAATGGGAAAAAAAAACTCGCAAACGATGGCAAAATTTAAACAATTTTCACGAGCTAAACATCAACGTTGGGAGGTGAGGTTTGTATATTCAAAGTTTCGTTCATATCTGTACAATAGTTTAGAATAAATGTCATGTTCACTGCGAATTTCAGCACGTATAGCCATTTAACTCGCGAATGAAGATGAAATTCAAAAAAAATTTCACGAGCTAAACATCACCGCTAGGTCCTAATGAATACGTGCTCCAAGTTTCATAAAATAGAATAGAGATGTCGGCACTGAAGAAATAGGCCCATGGCCTGTTTCCGATTCTAGTACTTTTCGTGACTTGATTCCACCAGGGATCCGACCTTATGAACCAGATCTTTCCATAACTGACGAATTTCCATAACTGCCGAATTGATTGGGGAGCGCGGCCGTGCACCACCAATTTTGTGCACCAATAAGCCCTGAATCGAACGCCTTGGATCTCTCCGGACATCCATCCACAAATCAGCCGTGAACCACTTGGCTTTCTCCTTCTCCGGCCTTGCATAAAACCTGCCGTGCACCACCAGGCCGCGGATTGAATATGACTTCCGGGCATCGTTAAGTTACGTAATTTTACGTTTAATTACGATTTGATAAGGCTGCTGAACTTAGTGCAAGGCTCATAAGTTGCTAAATGTTTCAAAACTGAACATATGCTCCTGCATAGCTTCGTCTAGTCAGTTCTTGAAGGCATTCATACTCGTAGCGTGAACGATGCTATCAGGGAAGCTGTTCCACATGTCGGTGACTCGAAGCCAGAAGAAATGTTGTCGCATGTATGTGTTACAACGCGGTTTTTTAGTCTATAGCCATAGCCCCTGGTGTTGGTTCTTGTTTCAAATTCCAGTATTCTTTCTGGGACCTTGTATAAACCGTGGGTATTACTGTATACTTCAATGAGGTCATCTTTCCCCTAGTGTAGTACTGGTGTTTAAGTGAAAATATTGCAAAGACATTGGTTATTGTTTAATATTGTCAGCATAGGATTGACTCGTTAAATCTCATCATGCGTCACTGGCACTTTACAATCTGCCGCCCAATGCGCGATTAGCTGTCAGGAATTATGATGGAGTCAATTTGAGGTGTAATAGTGAACTTGACTGAAAAGTACTGTCTAATCGTTGTCCTCGGATTTGGCAGTGTTCGGTTTACGTTTCCTCAGGAAAATCATTTAACTTGTGCTTCCCTTTATCCAACTTCACGCTTTCTTATCAATGTTAGAGTGCACCAAGTTTTTACAAATTTTTAGAGAGCTGCACACTCCCTAGCATGACTACGAACTGAAAACTGACTGAAGACAGTAACGTCTGGGATGTGGACAGGTTTTAGAGTGTCTTTCAAAAATGTGTTCAGTGCCTTCTGCAAAATAGGATAATCATACTTCCAGACACCTCATATTTTAAATGTTGAAGCTTAAAACACAATCGGCAACTTCTTAAAGCAAGTGGGTATCTTATTTGGCTTGTAGCCTTGAATAGAATGTTTAGCAGTTTCCTGTTGTGTCCAACTTCATATTGATTGTCTCTTGTATATGATTGATTTTAGCTAGATACGTGCTCTCATTCAAGTAATTAATTCAATTATGAATACGTATATCATTTGTTTTTTATCATTGACTAACACTCCTTCGATCTTCTGTGAACTATGAGTTTGATAGCACGTGCAATTCATCCGTCGTGACAAGTCGTACTGTTTCAACATCTATGTGCAAGTTTAATAGGTTCAGGAGAACGATTTTATTCGAATGTACTCCGAGTCTATAGCGTTGTGTAATTTTCATGATTCAAATGTTTCGTGTAAAGAAAGGTTTTACGCGAGGTATAATTTATTTTCCTTAATCTAGATAGGACGTTTATTTCATCTATTGCATCGGAATTTTATCCTAATTACGACGTAAGTTTTAACATACTTGACTGGCTGCTTGCTGGATGGGCAACCTAACTAAGCACACTAACCAAAAAAAGCGGGATGAGGGGGGGGGGAGAATTCGGAGTTCTGATGGACCAGGTGAAGTAGTGCAGGTGCAACAGAAATAATTTTCAATGGAGCAGCGTTGGATCGAATGATAGTTTAAAGGAAAAATTAAAATATAGTACATTGTCCACAAAGTGTATTTTAGCCCTAGCGGACAGGCCTTGTTGGCCGGTCGATCAGCCTTGTCGGGCGAAGGCTGGTAATTCTAGTGTAGTTCGTATGATTACAGTTGGGAAGGGGACGTTTTGGGGAAGATGAGACGAGGGTGTAGAGAGTGCAGTAAAGCCCCTTTCACACACGACGTGAAATGCCGCATGCGTCAAAAAATACGCAGCGGTATTTGCCGCGTTATAATTCGCACACGACAGCAAATGCCGCATGCGTCAAAAACAGGCAACCGCATTTACCGCACAATCATTCACAGTAGGCGGCTTTTTACGCCTGAATGCCAAGAGAATACGCCTGAATGCCATCCGCTATTATGCCAAGAGAATTAAAAGTCTTTTTCATGAAATGCTTCCCAAATGTCAATCTTCACGTTTGCTGATCAACAATTTCAAACTATACTTTGAGAAATGGGTGTGAATAACATCGTCTGAGAGATTATTGTCGAATAATCAATTCACTTCGCAATTGCGCAGTGGAAAAAATAATATCGTTGGTTTTGTTAGTTTCACTGATTCAGTAATGAGTTTTCTGTTATAAATTTCGTGATTCGAGACGGAAATTAACCTGAGCTGACCGATAACTAGAGCAATTTAACTTTGATCTCTATCAAAATTCGAAAAATATAATAATTTTACACCGGCAGGAGTCACTAATGTCTTCCAGCTTGTGGGATTCGATTATAAAATTTAATTTAAACCAGGGAAAGGCAAATGAAAATCGCCGGTTTTATTGGTAGCAAATATAATATTTGATATAAACATTGTACGTGTTGAGCGAACACTTTCAGCATTCTTCTCCACTCACTTCAATGAATGGAACCTGAAATAAAGAATACATATTATGATTTTCAATACAATATAGCAAAATTTCAAAGTGATAGTATTCTTTGTATTTTTTACACTCCCGCGTTCATCTCTGCGTATGGAATTTTCGCATGATTAAAATTTAATTTTAATATCGAGCAGATACTGTAGATAAGAATTAAAATCTCTCTATTACTGCACGTTTCAAGAGAAATATTGTTTACAGCATTTGTCCAGGTTTTGCAGAATTGTTTGCAGTATTTGTCCAGGTTTCCCTAGCAAATTATCCCAGTATCCGAATAGAACGAACCTGCTCTGGAGTTCAGACCTCCACCATCAAACCCGAAGGTTGTGCTGCTGGGGTTGAACTGCAGGGGCGGTGGAGGGAGAAGTATGTCTGGGTCTCCCATGTCAGTGGTTCCGCCAGTTGGGATAGGTAGATTAACGAGGTCCATGCCTGTCGTAAAGTAAAATGATCAAGTTAAAGACCTACATGCGAGATAACAATAACAGTTCGATGAAAGTAACTTAAAGTGTACTAAGCCTAGCTAGTTCGTTAATTGGCCCAATTACTTTCGCTTCAAGGTCGAATTATCTCACGCTGAATGGCACGATTGGCATCGCGAGCTAAAGAGCGAAATCGGCACATACGTTCGGTGTTGAACGGGCAATATTAGCAACTCGTTTTGGTGTAGCCAGGATACTTGTGTGCGTCGGGACCAACTCGGCGGAGATGAGGTCCGGGGCACTGGGCCATCTAGACGAGTTCGAGTGTGTAATAGTGAGGATGCCCGCTATGGTTCACTACAATTGGGGCATATAGCTGGGCAGTGGCACGGCAACTCATGTGCATCTTTTGGCATTTAGCAGTGGTTGCTCGACAGCTTTTGGCTCCATGTTGAATTGCTGGCACTTGTGGCAACGGCGCGGGCGAGGAATTAACCGTCATTGAGCATCGGTAACCTTACCACAGTTCGAAGCTTGCATGCAGCTCATATAATGGGAAATCACCAGTACCCTACATTATCTTCTTCATTGGTAGTTTAATTTGGCAACAAAGTGACTGAGCTGCTCTTAAAATTTTTCGACTGTGTATTTGGGCTCATTTCGTTAGTAGATCGTTTCCTTTGTTTTGTTCGATGCTTCGTGTGGCTCGACGGTGACGAAAGAAGCTGCCAATGAATTAATGTCGATTATTGATTGACTTTTAGTTTTATTTTACACTTTCAACGTGAGTGCTCCGTCGCGAATCTAGAGCTCATTATTCGGCTCACTCCTCAGTGAGTGTTCAAGTTGCCAGTTAGCTTGAACGTCACTGGCTCCCAAGTTTTCACCCGTCGTCGATGAGATGCGGAAATCGTGAGGATACTCTTCTGGAATCGACTGCGTTTGCCTTCATGTCCAACAAAAGTTAGGGTTCTCTGAGTGGCGAAAGCTTGGCTTTAGATGCCTCTTTCGGAGTAGGTCTCCAGGCGGGCTCAAGCTGGAAAAGGAACCCTCTGGGGATCCGTATACAACTACGGCATCTCTGCTGTGAGGCAAGCGAAAACCAATTAATAGGAGTAAATATCCGTCCCACCGACATGCCGGAGCCACGGCGGCTCATCAATGTTATCTCAACCGTCGTCGCATTTAGAAAGCACTCACACCACGGCAATGACAGGGTCACACGAAGAATAAACAGAATTGCATACAACTGTAAATTTAAGTGTTTGAATTGACAAAAACTCACCAACAACGGATATGCGAGGTGGGCAGCTCCCAATGACTGATACCGAGGTCTCTTTTTGTGCAGTTTGCTCTACAGAACACGATTCCCCCTTGGTTCCCAGATGGCACGAGGAATTAGAAGGAATCAAAGAACAAGACCCTGGCGATAGTTCCGCGAGTTCGGACAGAGGCGCCAGACCGTCTTTGGTCGAAGCAGGCAACGGGCGTCTTTTGTTGGCGTTCGCTCGTCGGTCCCGCGCGTCGCTCTCACTGCAACAACGCGCAGATTTCCTTCGCCGTTTCTTCTTCAGAACGAGGCATAGGAGACAGCTCACGATAACTGAAAATGAATTAAATACGTCGTTAGACATCAAATTTATTTACGGCTGCTAATGAAAATTTGTTATACTCCGGAAATTGTGAAGTTGACATGTTCTAAAATCGACGTAACATTGGGACAATATTCTTTATACTAATGTAACTTTTTGAAACAATCGTTTGCCAAGATGGTGAAAGTCCTATAAAAATGTCAAAACTGTGTGGTGATTTTGAGACCATAGATTAAATTTGGATTAGCAAAAAAACATAAAGAAAACTAGACATAAATCAGTAAATGTGGAAATAAAAATAGTGGAACCGAGCAACATTACTGAGCAACAGTGCAGCTGCTGAGGTAGCAGCTGAAGCCACCAGAATGCTAAGCGAGTACGGAGCCTCCAGCGCCCCGGCGGCGCCCCACTCGCAGTGCTCTCCGCGGTGCGCCGGTCCGCAGACGCAGCGGTACCCTGGCCGCGGCAAATTATCAGAGAAAACGGAGGTGCGCAGCGATGCTGTATATTCATTGGATAGAGGAATTGTAATCTGATTGGAAGTAAACCAGACAGAATAATGAAATTTGGTCCGTAGAAGCTCATTGTTAGGAAACCCTCGTGTACTCTGCTCTGAAGTTTGATTTGTAGGCCACGGCGCTTATAAATAAATATATCAACATATCGAATAAGAACGTAATTATTCAGGAGCATGATCATTCATAATTATTCATGACATGTAAGTGTTTCTACCAAAAGTGAAAAATTTTCATGAAATGACCCGCGTTTATTGCTAAGACCACTAAGGGAACGCATGCGGATGTCGGATAAATTGATCGCTGGAAGACCCATACACAAAGCACAATAAACATTCCACTGAATTCGGATCTTTAATCATGAAATTCAAATTTAATCACACTGAGAGCGACAAAATTATTTCCCATACGAAATTATGATCTATAACAGCCGAATTTTGAAGCATTCCAAAAAATGACACATTATTTCACTAATATGAGTAGCATTTGAAAGTTTCAAATTGAAAGATAGAGCGCTTCATTTTAATCGAGTTAAGTTCAATGAATGAATTCAAAGTTCTGATGGACCCAAGCACATTGGTTCTGGCAGATACGAGGCAAAACTAGCAACATGAATAGTATGGACAACAAATAGCCGGATGCGATCATACAAGACACGAGTGAAAGGAATGAATTATGCAAGTAATAAACTCACCAGGATGAGTGTTTACACACACGCCCAGATTGAGGCAAGGGTCGTAGCGGCATTCGTCGACGTCTAAACACGCGGTGCCGTCACGCGAGAGTTCCTCGCCAGCGGCGCACCTGCAACGCCATTGCGTACAATTTAATATACAAATTAAAATTGTTGAAATAGAAAATGTGAGATTATCGATTCGATTGCTCGTACGTTGCTAGAGAAGATATTTGATGAACGGCATTATGATTCTTGTTCAGGTGAGTAAGTAATTGGCTATAGCAAGTACAAACTTCGTATGGTGGGAATGCAAATGATAAGGAAATACAGAACATGATCTGAAGCTTGTACTTCGATCGATAATAGAGAAAAATCTCTAAATAGTTGAATGATTCCTGCTATAGTGGGAAGGGAATTGGGTATGTGAAAGAAAGGGACGAAAATGAGAGGGATGAAGGGAATGCAAATGAAATAGTGGAAACACAATCTGAAAATTATATTTTGATCTTCACGAGAGTAGCCTAATGATCTGTATGACCTGTGGCTTCGAGTGAGCAAGTTATGGAGCAACACCAATCAACCACCAATAAATTTTTTACTAATTAAGATTCAAATCCCCTACAAACCCGCAGGTGTTGAGGCCCCAGCTGTGGCCGCAGGTCAGAGGAGGAGGACAGCTGGTGTTGGTGCACACAGACGGCGACGTACAGCCCGAGATGACGTTTGCAAAAGACGTTACTGAACCAGCTGAATTACTCGTGTTCTTGATTTTGTTGTTGCTGCCGTGGTTATTATCGACAATTTCAGGCAAGGGCAGCAAATGTCCAAAGACGCGAACGGCAGACAAACAGCCTGGCAGAAAAAGTATATTCAATTTAAAAGATATTCGAAAGGGGAACTTTCAGGAGCGTATGTGGTACCATAGGAGCTTTTATTATAAACGTGTGCGTATAATACGTTTTTGATTTTCAAAATGAAATCAATCAGGGTTAATTAGAATTCCAAGTAAACTAAAAATCAAACTAGATAATGCAAAATTGAATTTTAGTGAAACCCTATTTCTATTTATATCTCATCAATGCTCAATTTCACTAATGATAGAATGCATTCATGAATGCATGCAACCAATCTCTTTTCACAGATTGAACACAGACATTTCCGCTCATTACACCATTATTAAAATCCTTCCACAAGCTGCCGCCATCCAGCTCGACTCTATTCCTCCTCTTGCGGTGAGACCGAGATCGTTTCTTGCGGGAAAATCTGAAATATTCGAAGCCAGGGAGCCGAGGATCGTCCGATCTCCCAGAGACAAGCGGCCGGACGTTGGAGTGATGGGTTAGTGATAGAGACTCGCGTTGCTTGTAAGTAGACGCTTCAGTTTTGCTTTCAACGAAATTTGGTGAAGATATGAGTAATTTTCTAGCCGCATCTGGAGAATTCTGTGTAAGTTCAACCATTTCCTTAGAACTTGAGGCAGCCTCCGCAGATCTGAAGGTCACATCCACAGATCTCGGGGCCACATCCACAGATCTCGGGGCCACATCCGCAGATCTGAAGGCCACATCCACAGATCTGAAGGCTTTATCCGCAGATGTTGGCCTCACACCCGCACTCTCAGTCAGACCTCCCAGCCACGCGCCGTCGTGTCTGCTGACGCTGAAAGGTAAACTCTGCAGCTCTGGCAGCAGAGCGCTGGCGTACGAGTCTTGCTCCGCCTCATCTATGGCCACCTCCAGCAACTCTGCGTGCCTGCAATGAAAACTCTTATTTCTATAATATTGGCATGGAATATCAGTTGCTTAAATTGATAAAAGAGGCATATCAATGACATATTTTCTGACATACCTCAGTAGTTTATCTATTATTCATTTCCTTAAGATAAATAGACACTAATACAAGTTTTATCACCAAGTTATAATGTTATTAAATACATAATTTTCACTACCAGCAAACAAATGATTAATTTAAAAGTATCCTTGTACCTGAGTGTGATGGCGTGATGCCATTCCCCGTCATCGAATTTTTTAGCAACGCAGAGCGAAGTGTACACGCGACCGTCCAAGCCAACGACAAGACAAACACTGCCGGCCTGGAGCTCTACACTCAGCCAGTCGGTGCGGTGACGTGACCGCAGAAGCACAAGTGTACCGTCGCTCGTCCGCGCCCGGAACCTAAATAAAATTTATGCATTGTGAGTCATGAATCTTGGACACATGTTTCACTGAAAAATTAATGCAAGTTAACTCCATTAAATTCAATTCGTAATTGTTGACAGACTGGAAACAATGATCAATTGCATAGAATATCAGAGCTTTCCTACTTCTCATAATTTTCTGTACATAATTTCAAAGTTCGTGAAGTGGTGGAATTAAATTGTACTAAACTTATGGAGGAAAACTCCAAACCTAAGCTCAATTTGCGCCCAATACTCGGGCGGAGTGAAGGAGAGAGCAACGTTGACATGACTTTTGCTGAGGAAGAACAGCGCCGGAGACTCGGCCAGACAGCCGGCACCCGCCCGCCCCGGGGCGCACTCGCACTGCTCCTTGCCCGGCGACCCCTGGCATCTGCGGTATGGTGACGAATCGAATCATCGGGAACTGTTGTATCATCAAACTTCATGCATAATATTGGCTTATTATAGAATTAATCGACTTTAACATTCAGATTGATGAACATGCTGTAAAATAATACATCACTGATAAATATATGGTATACGAGGCATCACATAAAACGAATACTGGGTAATTAAATGCAAAAACTTTCAAGGCCATGATATTTATTGCCGCGGTGAAAATTCCGGGCTGTCAAATAGCTAAGTATTAAATTCAAGTCGTAAAACTGGAGAAATCGACAGTTTTTTTTATAATCTTCGTTTGCATTTCAAGATCCAATAAACAAGCTTCTCTTGGTTGAGATGACACGAAGCGTACCGAGCGTGCCGAGGACACGCGTTCGAGGGCCGGAAGCAGGAGAGGGCGCCACAACCAGCCACGCTCGCGGTCATGGCGCCTGGCGACCCGAGGTCCTGGAATTCTTTGTTGACGCGCACGTGCGACAAGCAGCCGTGAAAATCATTCTCAGAGTTAAGAGATTTTCTCTCGTGTGAAGATTTGGGGTCCTCATAACGTCCCCCAAGCTGGAGAGGGGCTCCCCAACCAATAGGGCCTTCGTTGTAGGTAAGGGGAAGAGAGCCCCGGCATTGGGTGGACTCGAGAGGAAGGCTGGATGTTGTTTGGCTGGTCGAGGCGAAGGGATCTGAACCTGTGTCCAGGCAGTGATCCAGCATCACGGTCACCGTCTGCAACGTCAGTTGAAACAGAAATACTACGGAAATAATTAATATTGGAATTCTTAAGAAGTTCGATAAAGATGAACAGAAAATTATACAATGGTGACAAACTATGCAGAACATTACGACACTTGAGAAACTCTATGGGTAAATTGACGAATATTTGATTAACTTTCTTTGATTAATTTGATTAATTTTCTAAAAAAAAATTAATTAACTCTTGGCGGTCAGACAAGAGTTATTTAAATGCCACGAAGCGAAGTTAATATTAATTCTTCAATATGGGCCGTCTACGGTAGAAAATTCAGTGTTTCTCATAAAATTCAAGTACAATCGCGTTGTTCGTGTAGGCATACGTTTATATTCAAAATTGATCAAACTATCCATTTACCTCATTAATCCAAAAAACGTCGAGTCGATGCCAAACATTATCAGCGATATTTTTCTGCAGAGTCAAACTTTTCGGAGGTTTTGGTCCGCTACTTTTGATGGTGAGCTTGGGTCTTCCATCATCGAGGAGAAAGTGAAAGTATCGAGAATTTTGATCGACTCGTGACTGGGAGCTGAGAATGTTGCCAGTTTTGTGCTGAGTCAGCACGAAGATGGTGATGTGCAGCTGTGAACAAGTGGGGAGGGAAGGCAGCACCATGAATGAGGGTACAGACGAATATTCGGATACAGAAGCAGGACTGTATGGCCTGAAATGTCGGGTGAGAAGTTTGCAGTGTGGGCCCACTGTGTGGCCCGGACACGCGCACCTGCCGAAATGATGGCATTTTGAGGAAAAATTTTACTTATTTTACAACGTTTTTCTTATTTTCGTTCCGTGTCTGTCTGTCATCAATAATTCAAACCTTAATTTAGAGCACTTCTGAAGATCCTAGAAACTTGAAATTTGGTATGCATGCTTATGCTGCCTAACAATTCAAGATTTGATCATCAGAAGTAATAATTAAAATTTTTTGTTTTTGTTTGTTCTATTTGTTTTAATAAAAAAGAAACCTAGAAATTCGCGGTTGTCAATCGAGTTTTTTTTTGTCGAATATCCAGAGTTCCCAAACCTGGAAAATGATTTTAATTGCTAAAATTGCTAAACTAAAAAGTAGAAAATAAATAAATATAAAAATAATTTTAAAAACCAAGTTTTCCTGGTGGTTTCAAAACTAAAAACAATTAATTAAAACATATAAAAAAACTTTTAAAAAACACGTTTTCTTAACTGACAAATAAAACAAATAAAAAAAGAAAAATTTTCAAAAACCACGTTTTCTTAACGGACAAAAAAGAAAAATAGTAACTCTTACATAACATTAAAGTTATGTAGAATGTTATGTAATGTTATGTAGGAGTTAATGTTTTTGTTTTGTGTCCGTTAGGGACACGTTGTTATTTAAAGTTTTTCTTTTTTATTTGTTTTATTTGTCCATTAAGAAAACGTGGTTTTTAAATTTTTTTTATATATTTTATTTAGAACAATTTTGTTGATTGGTATATTTTGACATTCTTTTAAATTTCACTTTCCTTTAAATTTTCAATAATTTGATAAATGAGTTACGATCATTTGTAAATTATACACAATTTGAAAGTGACCACCAACGGTGAGTCATTGAAAATCAAGAACTGGGCAGCCTTCTTCTCGGCAGGCAGGCAAATGAGGCGCCGGTCAGCCGCTCATGACACGGCGTCGCAACGCCTCACCTGGGCCCAGACGCGGCGTGAGGCAGGCACTTGCCGCCGTTGCGGCAGGCGCCCCGGCTGCATGCCGGCTGTGGCCCGGCGGTGACCGCGTGCGCCGAAGTCAGGCTAGCCAGCTGCCCGCGCTCCTCTTCGGCGCCGTCCTGCACTGGACACCTGAACAGCGTGTGGTGCTTGAGAAGAAGTGAGCATTATCGTGGGTTTATATTTATACAGCTTAGATGATTCTCATTCTAGTAAAATTCGTCTGCGTTATATATTTATTATTGAATTTCTTTGCTTATCTTCCTGTTTTCGTAGAATTGAGTGTTATGAAATATCAGGTAAAACGACCAATAAAAGAACTATTCGTTGACTTAAAAATAGGATAGAATTCCTGATGATATTAAAAGTTCGAAAGATATCGGTCTGGTTTGAAGAATTATGTGACCTATGGCGCTGTTACATTTGTTCCTAAACGAGTAGTGTGAATTATGCAAAAGTTTCTTTCCAAATAGGTTGATCTTAATATACTGGTCTTAATTTGGCACGAGTATTTAACTATGAGCTCCGAAATTGTTTGACAGTTCCAACTAATGAAGAGTAAGCCTCGTTTTTGACGGGCACAAACACGAGTGAACATGACGACGTTTGTTTTTTTTTTTAACAAAACAGGGCGTGAAAAATGTCACGACATTAAAATAAACGCGATAAAAAAAGCAATTTAAACACTAAAAAAACATAAATTTATTTTTTGGGTACAAATACCAAGGTGTTTTCTTTCACCTGCACGAAGATTCTATACGCAGGGAAGGCCCGGCGTGGCTGCGAGCGCCGGCATCCGCGAGGTGCCAGCGCTGGTCCAGCGCCAGGCGGTCGCGGCAGCAACAGCGGCACGCAACTCGTCGAGACGCGCAGTCGCCCAGCGCCGAAACGCCCACGCCCAACACAGCCGCACCGACTTCGGCCTCGATCTGCCGTGCCACGACCGTACTTAGAAGAGTAGGGGCAGTAAATTTTGCATAAATTAAAGCAAGTTATTCACTATTTCGACACTATTATTTAGTTCACCTCATGCTGATGCTGGAATATTAGAGGCTCCAGGGCAAATCTGAGGTGCCTTTCAGGTGGCTGTTGAAGGAGCCACACTCTGGTGTGGCTGTCATGGTTGAGCCGTATGGTTTCTACAGCCACAACCATGACGTGTGGCTGAATGGCTGACATATCGTACGGCTTTGCGGAGTGTGTACTTGATAATTCTGAGTAGTCAGCAAGATGCTGATTCAGCAGCCTCAGGAGACGGTCAAGAGGAGATTCAGAGTTTGGTTCCTGTAATGTTTTTCAATGGTGTTACCAGGAATATAATTATGAAATTTAACACGGTCAGTGACAAAATTCTCATCGTAGACTACATCAAAGTCATCACTCACCTCAGCGTCAGCATTCGTGAGGAGGTCGTGAGGCAAGATGGCAAGGTCGATTGGTGTAGATTTCAGCGTGTCAGCAACTCCGACGCTGCTGACGTCAGCGTAAACAGTCAGCTCGTGCGCTTCGCCCGACGCTGACGAGAGAAGCAGCTTCGCTTCATGCCTGCAAGCGGACACAAGTCGAAGAAATGATCTCCACGAAATAAAAGAAGCTATTAAAGCACAACTGCGCCGTGTCTCTCGGGAAAGACTGCAATCTTAACAGTTGCAAATAAGAACTCGAGCACACAGTGGGGCAAGCAAAGGCGCTAGGCGACGGAAACTTTGTTGAAGTGTTTAATTGAGAAGTTGTTGCCGCATTAAATTCTGACCAACATATTTACAGGACACATTTTTGAGTATGAATGGGGCAGTAAAGTTCTCATCACACATCAAAGAATTCAATTCAGGCTACATAAAAAATCGTGCTCGCCGTTATTCTGTCAGCGCCAGATTACATGACACTGTGGAAGACAAATGATATGAATAAATTGAAATTGTCATTCATCAATTAATCTGGATTTAAAATATTCATGAATACACCCACCGTCCCAGCCCAGCTGCAGGATCCAGCAGCAACAATCCTGAGTCGCTATCCAGGCGGATTCCTGAATTAGCTCCCTGCCATGTAATTCGAGCGCTGAATTGACCTAATCCACGGCTAAAATTACCCAAGGATTGCCCATAAACAGGGTCAGGTTCATCAAAGTTGAACCTGAATTTATCCCTGAATAGTGAGGATACATTATCCGTTTCAGTGTCGGTTCCGTGGCGTTGCGTTGCGTCGCCAGGGAAGGGCAGGCGAGGGAGACGCCCGAGGGGAGCTGGAGGGGCCGCCTGCAGTATATTCTTAAATACTGAATTGCTCATTCATACAACAAATAAGTAATAAACCATTAAAATATTATAATAACATGAGCAATGAAATCTCAGAAGATCTGCTTCAACTCACTGATAATTATTTAGAGAATAGTAATTAGATAATAATGTATGTACTTGCCATTGTCAGCTGTACTAATTTATGTCAGCGGGATCCATAACTACCAGATGTTCTCCCAACTGTCAGTTATACTAATAACTGTAATCTACATTCATAACTGTGAGCTACTCTCATGACTGCCATGACTATTAGTGTTCCTCGTCAGCAATATAAACGTCAATTATCAGCAACAATAACGCCAGGCATCAGATACACTCACGTGAGCTGACACGACGGTGGCAATCTTAACGAGGCTGACGTCTCGATGAGCTGACTCAGCTGAGTGAGGCACCAGAGTCAGCGTCATCTGCCGTCGCATAGGCGGTGAACCAGCGTCTGACAATGTCAGTGGCACTGACACAGCTGCACTGAGTGGCCTCAGAGTCAGCAGTTCAGCTACCACCACAACTCCTCCACCAGCAGACGCTCGTCCTGATCAATGGTGTTTCTTCAGTAGCGCTCGACACGAAGTAATTGTAATAGTGAAGCGGGGGTAATGAGCTACATTAATATTTCGCGGGGGTGCGAGCTCCACGGCATGTCGCCCTACAGTCACGGGTGTCAGAGAGAGAGAGAGTCACGGGTGTCAGCCTGGACGGTGACCGTGACAGAGCGTTCCGACGCGCGGGGGTGCGAGCTCCACGGCATGTCGCCCTACAGTCACGGGTGCCTGAGTCACGGGGCCAGAGAGTCACGGGTGCCAGAATGAGAGTCACAGTTACGAACCGCCAACAGCTAACCCTTTGTATCTCAACGCTCGTGAATTTCCATCATGAGGTCTTTAGATAAGAATAGCATTAGAGACAATCATTAATATATCCGTAGAGACATGTAACAGACGAGGGAAAAGGGAACCGCCAGTTGGACCGATGTCAAACAAATGAATACATTTCGAAATTCTTAATCTTGTACAATTCACGTAAACACTAAGTAACTCAGCCAAAGTGATGTAAACGGAATTTAGACAATTAGTTTATACATCTTCAAGCTTGTTTTGTCGTAATACTATGTTCAGAAAATATATCGAATTGCGATGAAACTTTCAACTACTCTTGGTCAAAAATAAATCTAGTAACGGAGTTTCTGAAGAAAGTGGCGTGTGAAAGAAAATTCCCAACTCCGACAAGGTGCGATCCGTCTGATGGTCCGATGTTGAGCACCACAAGGAAGCTCCAATAGGAAAACGATATCGACAATGGCCAAAACAAGTGAAGTCGAAAGTCTACGGAGGCTTTGAGATTGTTTTCAAATGTGTGTCCGATCCCCCGAGAAAACCTCTCAATATTCCTAGAATCACGAAAAAATAATCCCGCAATTTGAAATAAAGAATTTGATAAAAAATAAGTTAAGGGATCTGTTTCTAATCTAATCACATTGTTTCAATAAAGGGTTCGAGGTTTTACAAGGGCACCAATTTTCAGGTGATGGTTGCATGGCACTGAATCAGTAAATTCTTATCATAAAAATCATTAGGTTAAATGACCACTCACTATATTTTAATGATTAATGAAAATCTTAAATATTAGAGGATACCAATACGAATCATTCGTGTAAGCAGAAACAATTTTAAAAATGTAAAATTTAATGACCTGATTTTTATTTATTATCGTACTAAAGGATTTAATTGCAACAATACCTAAAAATGTTAAGGTAAAATTTAATTGAATGATCAATGAAATATACTTTCCCATGATGAAAAAAAACTTTAAAATTCAGAATTAAGAAAAGGAAGAATTCATCTGATAATCACATAATTACTCAAAAAATGATTAATTCTTTTGCACATAAGAATATACTCACGCTTGTATCACGCACGTACCAAATTTATACATCGCAGTAATGCGCCTAATTAACTCAACGAGGAACAACCTTACACATGACGACGCACCTGATCGGTGACCTGCACTCTAAAGTTGAGTCCCGCTCTGTGCTGTGGGTTCTCAAAATCCAGCGGCACTCTAGAGAACAGGTCAGCACCAGCTGTGTTTGCTGCCACTTCCACCAGCTGCCAGCCGTGGCCGCTCCCTGGCACCACCTGTCGTGCGCGTGAAAGTGCGAACAAGAGATTGTATTTCGATCTATATGAGTCAATAACCTGGACGACTATTGCTATGTTTTATTTATGTATAAAATGCAGGTATTATTATCGATAAAACATTTAAGTTGCTTACACCTTTTCTTCGTGCAACACTGAATATAAAATTGATTTATTTGAAAACAAACTAACTCATGTACTTGTCACGAGCTCGATATCGATCATCTTACTTTGGCTGGTTGCACTACTTTTCCTGCTGTCCTGTAATGGGTTTCAAAATATTTTAATGCAAAGATAACTATTAATTAAAGCTCACCGTTCTGCCTATGACATAAACCATCAATTACCCGGTATGCAAACACGTTGCTTGTATCAGGATCCGTCACCACGAGAGTCGAGATGAAATTTTCAGAGACGTTGCTGCGAGATTTGGACGATGGAAGGCCGCGGGAGGGAAATTCTCTGTTGGAAGACAACACTGCGCTGGATGATAGTGCTTCCTTGGGCAACGTGACTTCGATAGACGAAGGAACTTCGTCGGATGACGAAACGTCGGGAGATGACGATGCTTCGTTGGATGACGATGCTCCGTTGGATGACGATGCTCCGTTGGATGACGATGCTCCGTTGGATGGAGAAGCTCCTTGGGACGAAGAACGCTGGAAAGATGGTTGACGATGTTCGGGGACCAAGACATCGACGTGCGATCGCACGAAGGAAGGAGGAACGTCGTTGACGTCGTCGATGTTTACGGTAACGGTACAAGTACCTGAACAAAAGCAACGTAATTATTTTCTATTCCTTAGCGACATTCAACAATAATTTAATAACATTGTACGCTAACTTAGTGTTTTTGAGGCTAATCAAATGTATAGTTAAAATTAATCTTTAAAAAATTAATGTGATTCAATTGTAGTCAGTCAAAAATTATTGGGAATCCTAACATGTTTTATTTGGGATAAAATGTAGGAAAGAAATGTCAAAAATGATCACTTGTACTTCCTTCTGCAGGCTTTTTCGGAACAAACTGGAAGTTTAGACTTTACGGTGCAACACGATTTTATGGTCGCATGGGAAATGTTAACTGGCGTTTCGTTAGTGCGAGGCGCTATTTAAGAGAGCTATGCTCTTCGCCAAAGACGCTGCGTAAAAAACAAGGCTTTGTCAGAGCAAATGTCAACAAAACCCAAGTTGCTGCGGTCATAAAGGAACTAAATTCACACGCACCGCTCGCAATATAGTAAAAAAACGCTTCGGAGAAAAGCTGCTGTTATTTAGCGCACCATCGCTATGTTGAAGACGATGAGCGAGGCATGGGAGGCCTGTTGCTGGTAGCTAGTACGCTGGATATTTATTAGGAAGGATTATCATCATTATAAAATATAAATGAACAATTTGAATAAAATTAAAGTAAAAAATCTTCTAAGTAGAGTCGGTCGCCATTAAGCGAATCGTGCGCATAATTACAGATAATGATCCGAAAAATAGCATAACTTATCAACCAACAAGCTTCCGAAAAAAAGACGAGTGCATAGGGACGTTTCCATTGTTAACCATACAATGAACAAAATTTACGTCCTTTGTTAAGAAATAATCAAGTGCTCAAAATGAGCTGATTCGACGGATCACCGATTAGAATACGGATGGAGGTAGTGGTATCAAAATGAATGAAGTAATGGGTTGAACTCTTCACTCGGGAAGAAGTAATGGGTTGAACTCTTCACTCGGAAAGAAGTAATGAGTTGAACCCTTCACTCGGAAAGAAGTAATGGGTTGAACTCTTCACTCGGAAAGAAGTAATGAGTTGAACCCTTCACTCGGAAAGAAGTAATGAGTTTAACTCTTCACTCGGAAAGAAGTAATGGGTTGAACTCTTCACTTGGAAAGAAGTAATGGGTTTAACCCTTCACTCGGAAAGAAGTAATGGGTTGAACTCTTCACTCGGAAAGAAGTAATGAGTTGAACTCTTCACTCGGAAAGAAGTAATGAGTTGAACTCTTCACTCGGAAAGAAGTAACGAGTTGAACTCTTCACTCGGGAAACCGAATGATCTAAAGGCAGAATTTTTCCTCGAGAAAAGCTACATCACAATCTCGCACAAATTCCTTACAAATTATTAAGCTGGCCGGTCAGCTGCGACGGCGGACAGGCGACAACAGCAATGCCAGGAAAAAATTAATTGCATTTTTGGACATGGTGGACATTTTTGGCGTACGCGAGCAAAACGAATAAAGTAATTTATATAAATTTATTTCTTGAATCTGGCTGTAAACAACAAAATTTTATTTGTTCTACTTCTTAACTGGGGAACAAAAAATCTTCTTCTACTTCATCTACTTTATTTGTTCTACTTCTTAACTGGGAACAAAAAAATCTAGTTCTTAACGGGGGAAAAATCCCAAATATCAGAAGAAACTTAGGATTAATTTGAACAGATTATCAATAATCTCATCGATCCATCAGGAGGAAGTGAAGCAGTGCAGGGAAATAACCCATAAAGGACACTTGGAGAAGTGGTGGCGTGAAAAAAACTATATTAATTTCAACATTGGTTCGGTAATAATGAATTTTCCTTCTATAGTAAATAGAGAAAACAATATGAGCGGTAATAAGACTTTTATCATCAACGGTAATATTTGGATGAGTGAGCCATCATATGGTATTTAGAAGAAAAAATAGAAATATTAATGTTTCTCAATTAAGAAAGAAAATATTGTGTATTTATCTCGAGACACCAACAGCAATTCATGTAAACATATATATTCATACTATCACCCGTAGTATCTTTACACCTATAGTGAAGGCACCACAGCTCATTGGATGTATTTAGCAGGCAAATGTTTATCTTCTTCTCTTTTCTTTCTTCCAGTAAAGAATGGAAGCCCAGCAGCTCGTGTCAGTCCAGCAGACATCTTCCCACCCGGTGCCAAGACGGGCGTCAAAACATTGTGGGATTGTGCCCTTCAAATCCGCGGGAATACCGCATATATAAGAAATATTGAGATGGAATGACGCAAGAAAGATCAGAAAAACAGAAAATCCAAAATAGATACACGTGACAAATTATCACAATATTACCAATGAGAAATACAATAGACGCAGCATTGATTCGTACAGTGGATCTTGAGAATAATATAAGCATCAGACATTATTGAATATATCGGAAAATACAAAATCAAAGATAAGCCGATTATTTTCCAGACAAGTATGGAGCGCGAGTTAAGAACTGAATTTGAACTAGCTATCAAAAAAAGGTTTGAGAAATCACTCAAAAAATCCAGGGAATATGAAGGATTAAGCAGCTTAGGGATTTTTCAAAGATGATGACTGTTCCTAATTTAAATTTTTTAATGTTAAAAAATTATCCATGATTCTCGGGAAAGAAATTCGTAAAATTGCCAGTGCATTTAACAGAGCTGCCGTGATTGTGATTCAAGCCTTGGGTGCTCACGAGAATAGCTTGTTAATAATCCGGTTATCCTATAGAAAGATATTACAAGACTCGATATAAACTTCGGTGAGCGGCGCCGGGAAAGTTCATACGAGTTGAGCAAGCGGCTTTTGAGGAGCGGACGCGTGGAGTTACTTCTTCAGGATTATTTTAGACGGCGCCTGAAGCCAACCATCGAAATCAGAAACTTTCAGAGTCACGACTAAAAAACCGGCAGATTTTGCAGCTGAATGTCAGGTTTAAATTTAATTATAAAATGTGAAGTTTTGGTTGCTTGAGCATAGAACTTCTAGATGTAAAAAATATAATAAAAATTTCACTTCAAACAATTCCATAATGAAAACAATAATTAATGGAGCCCTAGACGATGCTATCTCGCATCGTAAGTCCCAGTATGTTCCTGGGAGGCGTCGTTCCTAAGGTGGGAGGCGTCGATCATCATGGACATGATTATTAAGTAATGTCATTTATTAAATAGAAAAAATTCATCGCTCACATGCAGCGGGAGCCTTCCGATGGCCAGTGGCAGGAAGCTGAATGTGAAGATCAAGGTTAGCATCTAAGATGGAGCGGAGGATATGAAAGGCTACAGGGACACAGGCAAGAGGTCTAAAGGTCTATAGAGTTTGTTACACATCGCATTAAAAGAATAATATTTGTAGAGAACGAACCTTGAAGACCTCCTCCGTCAGTAGCAGCAAGCACAAGCCCGTAAGACGACGTGTGCTCCCTGTCTAGACAGCAGACGGCCGTACGCAGAGCCCCCGTCTGCCTGTCAACTGTGAACATAGGCAGGCGAGAGCGTTCATCAATGACGTTCTTCAGCAGCGAATACGACAGGCGGGCGTTGTCGCCTTCATGCGGGTCGTCTGCGTCGTGCGCAGTCACTACCGCCACGGTAGTTCCTTGAGAAAAAAACTAAATTACCCCATGAAGAATTTCAGACACTTGACAAGCTGGAAAAGCATGAAAGATAAATTTATCAGGCGCATGTGTGTTCACATTTGGGGTAATGGAAAGCCCCATCAGAAAATAGGTGTCCTGTTGGAATATTCGAAGACACGAAAAAGTAAGATGCTGCCGCCGTTCAGCGTTTACCTCAGGAATCGCAGGACGCTTACGTAATAATATTTACGTGGAGACATAATTACGACATAATTTACGTAGAGATCAAATGTCACCTGCAGAGGTAAGACGAGAGTTGGTCTAACGGGCCTGATACAGCGTAGGATGTCTCCTTATCTTGCACAGACTTACTGCCTTGTCTGGGCTGGAACTCTCGGCCCCAAATTATCTCTCTTTAATCCTGGTATCTCGAATACAAAGTCTCTCTTCAACCCTAGAGTTCAAACCCATTGCGTAAAACTTAGTCAAGTCATCCCGCTAAGTAAAAGATTTATTTTTTTTGTAGTCTTATAACAGATTAAACGCACGAAAGCGTAAATGACCGTTGAACGCGCTAGGTCGCCACGACAAGGAATACATGAACTTCTTCCTCTCGCCCTCCGCGTGCTTTTTTGACCGCCTTCGACTTATTATTTATTTGACCGCTGTTCTTTTTACGACTCCAGAACGACGATTTCATCATATCGTTTCGGTATGCGAAAAGGTAAATAGTATTAAGAAAAGTTAAATTAATTACCTTCAACACTAATTCAACTGGAAATTTGTTGTGTATAATTTTCGCCACTTGCAAATCTTTTCTTCGAATATGAGACACCAAATTTAACATTAGTCAAATTGCTTACCTTTGAAGATACGTTGAATGAAATAATATTTAATAAGTAAACAATGATTCAGGCATCGACATTGTCCAAAATCTGAATATGAAATATTTCAACGAATTTGATGAGAACATATAGATCGTTATCACTAAGAAGACACTTTCACGCTTGAGATGTGAAGTATAGTCTAAAAATCGTGTTGCTACTTTTCAAATGTCGTCGTGCTAATGTTATTCCACATGCGCACTGCAAAACTGTGCCAACAGGAGCTTGCGTAAGAAGTTGGTTGGTTCTGGCAAGTATAGAAGCTGCCCCTGCACTCAAACACATCGACAAAAGAAATCTAAAGTTTCGGGACAGTTTGCAGCAAGCCGAGAGAATATTTCCAATGTTGCGGTTTCTTGTTCACTTCCAAGTTTTTTTAACTAAATTGCAAAACGTAAATTCTCGGGAAATGAAGCATGAATTTTCCTGTAATGTTCGACATTAAATAATATCATACTCATCAACACCTGCAATATTTTCAAAAAACTTTAGCGACTCAAGTTGTTTAATTAGCTTCTAGTTACATCGACGGTGTAATTAAGAATAGAAAACTTTGAAATTTTAATTTAAATTGCCAATAGAGCATAAAATAAGTAAATTACGACATGCGATATCGAAGCCACTGCCATTAAAAAGCCGTAAACTTTTCCTTACATCGATAAAAGTCACATAAACTTGTCGAGCGTGAAACTTGGCTTGTTCACGATAACGGAGCGGAGCTTCCAACTTTATGACGAGAAAAATCCGTCTTTTAGAATCAAATACCACGGAAAAACGATAATATTTTCAATTAAAATTCCAAAACCTGATACGCGTGCCGAAATATTATAAGGTATTATTTGCCGTGATACGGATCTGATTGTCAGGGGCGTAGAAGTTCAAATACTTATTAACACCTTTTCATGTTATATTAAGACAAGCAACTTTGTCGTGAGTCACCTTGAAATTATGAAATCAATTTTTTTTTCATTAAAAAGCAAAATTTTTTCATTCTGGTTTAAGTTTATGATATTGAAAAGTTTCATCAATAAAAAACTAATGACAAGCTCGTGATCATTAATTAAAAAAGTTATCACCTGGCATCGAGTTTTCCAAGACGTGTGCGTCGATGACGTCATGCGGGAAGACGGGTGCGTTGTCGTTGACGTCTTTGAGGTTGACGAGTACGTCAGTGGAGGCCGTGTACTGCCCGTCCGTGGCCGTGACCGTCAGACGCCAGCGCGCCTGGCCCGTTGGTGCGTCACGGTCCAACGGCTAGCAGAAAAAATGTGAAATTTTTTGTAAGTTATTTATTCTCGACCAATGTAGTAGCGGGTTCGCCCGTGGGTTCTTATCCTTGATCTAATCTATCAGCTCTAAAAAGACTGAAATCCCTAAACGCGACGTTTTATATAATAAATAAAACGAACTCTCTGGTCTTACATGAAACCTGCTTAAAGGAACAAATTTTGCCAACATATACTAATAGTTTTATAGAATCTGCACAAAATTTCGTTTACTTCATAAAAACATTTTCTTACATTAGGCAGTGTAACTTAGTGACTTGCAGTAGCCCGTGTGCTGCAAGTGCGCACGTAATTTCAACACCACAGACACCCAACACTCCTGGCCACTTCGTGTACCTGATCTACTGCATTACAAGCAATTGTGTCGGGTACTCTGTACTTTTGTTTGAAGTCTCCCTCGGTATCAAGGATACTATCTTCGTATTTATCTTCTCCTCTGGGGATCAGACATCGTCGCAATTTACGTAGAGATCAAATGTCACCTGATGCCAGACATCAAGCGTCCTTTTTATTATGAATTGATTTTGTTGTAAAGGCTCCAACGCTCGAATTATTTGCTGTGAGAAATTTGAAGTCTCAATTAGAATGAAGCGCTTTAACTAGTAAGCTTTATTCGCAGTAGCCATGGAATTTAGGACACCTATTTCATTAACCCACACATTTCATTAATTTGGCTTTTCTTGAATCGATTAAAATTTAGCAACAAAACCGTCGGCCGAAATCCTTCTTAAGTCTGTGAGCAAAAATCCGCCAGAATGCAGAGGGCGCCGGGATAATTTCAGTCCCGCCTGAATTTCCCCGCAAAACACAAGAAGTTGGGAATTAAACAGTCAGCGTATGTTATTTACGAGGCCAGCGCTCTGCTGCCTGTCTAGAGGCCCAAGATGAGCGGCTTTTGTCTATAACTCCTCGCATATTTTGAGCTTTCCTCAATTAATTGAGGCACAATTACAATATCAAAGTAATTATGGAGAATGAAAAATGATCATTTTCACGAAAACTATTGATAATGAATGTCTAACGTAGCAAAATATGGTAGAATCGTTTCGGTGTTTAAAATTAATTATCAATAAAAATATTATTTAGCTCCAAATTATATCTTTCAGACGAATTTCGTCACATTTTGTACTCACTTGTTATGTACTTTATTTTAAACTTAAGATTTGATTGTCCTACATAACTTTATGACAATTCATCATTAAGTTCACTTGAATGGAAACAAGGATGTGTAACTCACTAGGTTATTTTTGTATCGTGACTGAAAAGCTTTTTAAAATTTAATTATTCTAACTTAATTGGGTTTTCTCTTTTGTAATTAAAACCTTTTACGCCTCTAAAAGTCAAAAATTAACGGCTATTAAAAATAGAAAGTCAATTAAAAATAGAAAAAATCATTCGAGCATTTTTTAGATATTTTCATAAGACTAAGGAAAAAGCATAAATATAAGAACACCGAATGAAATCCTTTAATTTTTTCGACAAATACTTAAATGAATTCGGACAAAAATATAGTAGGAGCAAAGCTCGATGAAGAATCAAAGAAGCATGCAAAATTGTTCGCTGTTAATTTGGCGAAATTTCCACCTGCACTTCTTTCACACCAGACAACGGCGTACTGGTATCATGTTTACACCGCTATATATGAGCTGAAATTTTCTGGTCACAGAATTGTCAAGGAACTCTCTGCAGGCTGGATAAGGTTGCAATCAATGCTTCAGTTGTAAATCCTGTAGAGGTTGTATAAAATTTAGCACCAGAAAATCGACCATTGCAACCTCCACTGGCACGTGCACACTCTATATGGAGAATAGTTGGAAACTTCTGCGCACTTTTCTTCGTTAAAGGAACGCGGTCGGCCTAAACAGAGGAAGATCAAATGTAAAATCTCGTCTAGCTTTGCGAAATAAAAATTGAAAAATCCAATTAGCCCCCTTTTTGCGCATCGTTTCATTCATAACATCAAAAACCACCAGTAAAGTTTTGAGCCTCAATACTCTTGGCTAGCACATTGAATATCTGTTCAGATTTTTTCGCATAAAAAAAAATTTTCTGTGAAATCATAATCACAGTGTTGCCGGAAGGCATCTGACCCTTTTATCTCTCAACCAGTCTGTGTTTTAATTCATCATTTTTCAGTAACTTCTGACTCGATTTAATTATTTTCCATTTTTGATTCAGAGTAATTTTTGCACAACTAACGACAGTCGCGTTCAATTCAGTTCCGTCATTTAGTAACAAACAGCCACTGGCATTCCGTGTATTTGTGTTTGGTCTGGAAGTGCAAACCTTGGTAAGTCTGCTCTCCAAAATCGGAACAATTTTGTTACTTCGGTTGTCATTTATCAGATCAATAGTAATTTCTGTTTAACTGTTAGTGGCCTTGCTCATTATGCACTTCACTGCTGTTTATGTT